GCCTTCGGGAGAAGTTATCACTACTCCTGCCCCCGAACCGTTTTCGGTGGAAGACCCATCCGTAAACACGGTCCAGACTTTCTTTTCACTGTCTAGCGCTTCTTGGTATGAGCATTCGGCTAAGAAATCCGCTAGAGCTTGAGCCTTAATGGCAGCCCTCGGACGGTAGCTGATGCTGAATTCGGTGAGCTCAAAAGCCCACTTGGCTAGCCTACCAGATTTTTCAACCTTGCCGAGAACTTTTTCCAACGGCTGATCAGTTAAGACCACTATCTGATGGCAATCAAAATAGGGCCTCAGCTTCCGAGCAGCTACTACTACCGCGAAAGCAACTTTCTCGAGTAGAGGATAGCGAGTCTCGGCATCCGTCAGTGTATGACTGACGAAGTAGATCGGTTGCTGACTCTTACTCTCTTCCTTCAGCAATACTGCGCTGATGGTGGCTGGGCTAACGGCCACATATAGGTACAAAGTTTCTCCTTCAGCTGGGCTAGCCAGCGTTGGGAGTTGAGCCAGATGCTCCCGAAGCTGTTTAAAGGCGTCTTTTTGCTCTTCCTCCCAAACGAGCTCTTTTGTTTTCGGGAGTTTCAGGGCTTTGAAGAAAGGTAACCCCTTATCCGAAGCTCTGGAAATGAACCTCGAGAGGGCTGCCATTCTTCCGGTGAGCCGCTGAACATCCCGCTTCGTTTTCGGCTCAGGAAGGTCGAGCGCCGCTTTGACTTTAGAGGGATTGGCATCAATCCCCCTTTTGCTGACCATGAACCCCAGGAATTTCCCTGACTTCACGCCGAAGACACACTTCTTCGGATTCAGCTTCATTTGATGCTTTCTCAAGGTGGCGAAAGTTTCAGCCAGGTCCTTTACATGGTCCTCTAGTTTTTTGCTTTTGACGATCGAATCGTCAACATAGACTTCCATGTTTCGGCCCTTTTGATCGGCGAAAACTTGATCCACCAGCCTTTGATAGGTTGCCCCCGCATTTTTCAATCTGAAGGGCATCATTTTGTAATTGTACACCCCAGCGTTCGTGACGAATGCTGTCTTTGCTCGATCGTCGGGGTGCATAAAGATCTGATGATACCCCGAGAATGCGTCCATGAAACTAAGCAAGGCATGGCCACTCGTCGAATCGACTAGCTGATCGATCCTCGGCAAGGGATAAAAACCCTTTGGACAAGCCTTATTTAGGTCCGTGAAGTCAACGCACATCCTCTAGGTACCATTGGGCTTCTGAACCATCACCACATTTGCCAGCCATTCCGGATATTGGCAAGGTTCGATGAATCCTGCCTCCAATAATTTTTTGACCTCGGCTGCGATGTCTCGGTTCTTATTGGCGGAGTAATTCCGCTTCTTTTGCTTAACTGGTCGACACGTCGGGTCAACATTAAGCTTATGGGAGATGAGGTCTGAACTTATCCCGGGCATATCAGCTGCCGAGAAAGCAAACACATCTCTGTTATCCCGAAGGAGCTGAATAAGTTCGCAACGGGTGTTCGGATCAAGGTCCATCCCGATTGTTACACATTTCTCAGCGTCTCCTTCGGCCAACTCAACTGTTTCAGTCTGTTGGTCCATGTCCATTGCTGATGGATTGGACTCTTCATAATCTGGTCTGCTGCCAATGTCAGCAGGTGTCCCAGTCTTTTTGTTCTTCGGCTAGCTCTCTGAGTCTTGCGGCTCAGCTGAGGAGCTAGCCTTTTCCCTTTCGGGCCCTTTACCTCTGGGTACAGATCCTTGGGCCGAAGCACTTAGGCCTTTCGGCTTTTTTGTGCTTGGCTCTCTTTCTTTTTCTTTCTCCTCCTCATCCTTGTCGTCATCCGGGCGACTACTGGATGGCTTGAGGTAGTTGCACCTTCAGGCGTCCTTTTGGTTGCCCTGTATCCTTTCGGGGAAGCCGGCGTCTGAGACGTAAATCATCAGCTGATGATAAGTTGAGACGACCCCTTGGATCTCGTGAATTATGGGTCTCCCCAAAATCACGTTGTACACTGAAGGAGCGTCGATGACCAAAAATTCAATCATGACGTTCCGGGCTGCCTCATCGCAACCGATGGTGACAGGAAGTGTCACCTTCCCATCTGGATAAGTTGAAGCCCCATTGAACCCGGATACCGGGTAGGGTACCGGCGTAAGGTGCTTGGGCTTCAGCTTAATTTGATTGTAGGCCTTTCGGAACAGAATGTTTGCTCCACTGCCACCGTCAACAAGGACCTTACTGACGTCGTGGTTGGCCACCGTGGCGATGATCACCAACGGATCCTCATGAGGGAATGTAATCCCCCGGCAGTCGACGGCTGTGAACGTCATGTTCGGCACCGGCGACTGGGGAGATTGAATGTCAGCGTTGTTCACCTGGTGAGTCAAAGCTCTAAGGTGGCGCTTGTGCTCCCTCCGAGAGTATATTCCTCCCGAGATAACATTGATCGGAGGGAATTTCCCCTCCGGCTTTTTACTGTTTTTCCGGGGGAAATCGAGGTCCTGCCGAGGGTCCTTTGCTGACCTCTCGGATTCTTTTTTCTCGCGGTGATCCGCGATGTATTTTTTCAAGTATCCCTTCCGGACCATGTCCTCTATCTGGTCCTTCAGTTGGATACACTCCTCAGTGTTGTGTCCCAAAGACTCGTGGAACTCGCACCACTGATTTTTATTTTTTCGCTGATACCACTCTGGGAGTGGTCTCGGCTTTCGGTAACTCTGCTCCTCCTTCGTCACGCTGTAAATTTTGGCGCGTGGAAGAGAGAGCGGAGTGTAGGACTCGTATCTGCCTGTGTATGAGGCAAATCTTTCCTTCTTTGGGTCGTTGGCCAAAGATTGCTCCGGGGCCTTTGACTTTCCCTTTGCCTTATGGCCTTGGCCTTCAGACAAGGGTATTTGCCTCTGTTTCCCTTCCCCGGATTGAGGTTGGGTTTTCGCTTTGTTCCATTCTTCGGCTCGGATGAACTTATCCGAAGCACTAAGAGCTTCCTCCAAGGTCTGCGGGGTACGCATGACCATGAAGTCTAGGAACTTTCCTGGCTGAAGGCCATTCTGCATTGCAAAAACGGCTAGCCCCTGGTCCAGCTGGGAGACGCTTGATGACTCGTTACTGAAACGGGTCAAGTAGTCTCGGAGGCTTTCGGTTTCCCCTTGTTGCAGACTCATGAGCTCTGCGGTAGTCTTCTCTCGGCGGTTTGCCGTGGAAAACTTGCTCCTGAACTTGGAGGACAGATCATCCCACCCTGTTACGGAGCCTTGCCTTACTCCCTTGGAGATCCACGCTTGCGCGACCCCCTTGAGAGTGGTTGGGAAATATTTGCACCAAGTCGCCTCGGATCTGGGGCAAAGATGCATATGAGTCTCATACGAGGCCACGTGATCCTTCGGATCCGTGGTCCCGTCATATGTGATGTGCGACGGTATTTTAACCGTGGGTACGCGCTCTTCTAGTATCCATTGCTCGAATGGTGAACTAGCGGGTAGCATAACGGCCTTGCCCTTGTTCCTGGCCGAAGGGACCGCGCTCCGCCCTCTTAGAGAGGTAGGAGTGGTTTTCGTCCCTGGCTGGGAAGTCTGGGCCTCGACTGCAGGGAACGAGAGGCGACTACGCACGCTCGGTTCCTGGCCGCCGAGTCGGTCAAGGACGCTTCTGCGAACAGTCTCAGGTTCTCGGTGAGTAGATTCTGGCCGAGAAGCTGAGCTGCTGCTCTTATGCGCTTCTGGTCTTGAGGATGAGGATCCTTTTAAAAAATGAGGGTTCTTTTTCCTCTGTTTTTCATTTTTCCAAGAATCCTCCTCCCACTCTTCCAGTTCCCGGAAGGAAGGAAGCTTCCCACCATCATGGTCTAACTTCCTCCGCTGATGCCGGGTATGCGGAGGAGTTCGATCACGAGGTGGTGGCATATTTTGTGCCCTTATCGCCTCCATGAGTACTGCCAGCGCTCTTGCCACCTCTTCCGAGCTGGGCCCCGTCAAAGGGGTCCTCGGCCGAGTGTGGGAATGAGGGCGCGCAGCCGATGGTTGGCTTTGGGACACTGAATATGTCCTATGATCGGACTCACCCCTGCTAGACCGAGAGTGGCCCGGCCTATATTGAGAGTCATGAATTACGGGAGATAGGGAATCCTCCTTGTATGATCCTCCCCCGAGCCGGCACCCTTGGGAGAGTTCCGGTCCGGCGAGGGCGATGGTGTAGGGGTTTTAGGCTTTTCGCCCGCTCCTTGACGGAGGCTTTTGCTCTTGCGGTTCTTAGCCATTGCTGCTAAGATAATTGCAAGATGATCTTGGTTAGGTATTTGGCTTAAAGATTTTTGAAAGTCTTCCCCACAGACGGCGCCAAATTGTTTCGGGTGAAAACAATGGGACCTTGCCGAAGGTCCGCTGAAATGGAGAAGGCTGGATTCGGTCCAAGTTATGTTGGGCCGAAGGTTTCCTGCACAGTAAACACACGTAAACTAGCCTCGGGGGTGTTGCTGAGGAAGGCCCCTCCGATGCTAAAGTCAGTACAATGTGTAAGAAGAAGACACTATGCAAGAGAGTTTGTTGCTTGAGGCTTTTATGGAATATATCAGAATATATGAATGAACATATGAATCTATGAATGAATCAGAATGAATCTCCCCTTGAATCTATCAATATGATGGCTTTTATACCTCATTATACATGGAGAGGTTGGGCCTTAGCCCAATTGGCTTGTTTTGTGGGCTGACCTTTGACTTTAGCACAATTGGAGAGTTGAACCTTGACCTTGGGCTTTTAATTGGATAATTTAGTGCTTAGGCCCAATTGGACTAAATTGGACCCAAACACTTCTGATCACCATTTTACTTGAATAGAAGATGGGCTAACCTTGAGTGGACATAAAATAGGTTCTTTTAAGTGGAATGATTGGCAAAGCTTGTAAGGAGCTACAATAAATGGGACTGCTACTTTTTCGCTCGCCTGCTGCTGCTGAAAGCTACTTGAGGAGAGTCGTAGGCTAGCAATCTGTGATGAATATATACTATGATCAAATAAGAGCAATCAAGCAAAATATGTGACATAGCTGGAAGAAAATAAAAGGATAATACTATCATTATACTCACATGACCAACATTTATTTATTTTTTTTCAAAAAAAAAAAAAACCAAGCATGAAGGTCATACAACTTCTATTACCCAAGAGGCAAATCGGCCTGATAACAAAAAGACTATATTTTTTAAATAATCAAACATTCAAACTTACTGCATCAATATCCACATGAGCAACGACAACTTCCACATCCTTCAATGAGAATTGGGAGCCTTGAGCAACCACATCTCCATTAACAACAACACAACAGCATCCATCTGCCACATTAATCAAGAGGGTAAGAATTAGATAGGTAAACTATATAAACACTACTAATATACGTACAAGATCGTCACTTCATCAAATTGATTGAATGTAGGTAAAAAGTCAATTAAAGAAATACCGTAATTTTGAATGACCCTAAGAGATAGAATTAGAAATGAGCTTATTCGCAAGAAAGTGGATGTGGCAGACATTGCAGACAAGCTTAGGGAAAATCGTCTGCGTTGGTTAGGGCATGTACGACGAAGACTCAAGGGTGCACCAATGCGAAGAGTGGAAGAGGGACCATGGAGGGGTTAAACGAGGGAGAGGGAGGCCGAAAATGACTTGGTTGGAAGTAGTTAGGAAGGATATGAAGTATATGGATTTGCATGAGCATGAAGCATTTGATCGTAAGGGATGGAAGAGGAAGATTTTTGTGGATGACTATACGGAATAATCATTTTGGTTCATGTAGCCGACCCCACTTATGGGATTAAGGCTTTAATTGATTGATTGATCGAAAGAAATACCGTAATATAAGCGTCCACCGTCACAACCCTGCTGATTACTAAACATGTAAAGTCCTCCACGAGCTTGTGTAGCTCCTATAAAAACATCCATGCGAACTTTAAGCTTTCTTAGTTGATGATGACTTCCACTAGCATTCATAAAAATTTCAACACCATTTAAGGCAAGCTGAGTATGAGGTGGATCTGGACAAAATAGCTCCTCACAAATTTCAGCAGCAACAGTTCTGACAAAGAAATAGATGCTTGAGCAACTTCCAAATGCAATCTGGGCGAGGATATAACATGCAACAAGAACAACTTTGCATGTAAAAGGCAAAAAAATCTCAAGAATATGAAAGAATGCATCGAGGAGTGCTCGATAAGATTTTGTACAACAAAAGGCAAAACAAAAAGTAACATACGAGTCCAAGAACTTAATGAACCCATAACCAAAGGGCACCGTTGTTTGCGATATAGCATCCGCAATATCAGGAGGTAGCTGAAAGTCCACTATCTGGTCTGTATGCTTCCAAGAAGTGAACCAACGCAGCTCTCTGTAATTACCATCATTGGCAAGCCGCATCTTTGGCCGTATCATGATTATTTTTCTATTCATACAAAGAACTTGGCAATTGTAACGTACTGATCCATTAATAACAGGCATCCCGAAGCTACATAGTATGCCATCAGTCCAGTCCCCGAGCAAAATTTCTTTCAGGCATTCCCATCTGCAAGTTCGTCATCAAGTGTTACAGTTACTTTCTGCTCACAACTCGCACCTGTGTATATAGATAATATCCAAATATCATCATACATACAGGCAGGTTCATGAAATCTATCGAGTACTTATATCATGCAAACTCATTTTATTTATACAAAAGTAAATGTTATGGTATCATGTTACATCCGTCTGAAATTATATGCTACTCCCTCCTTCCTTCGTTATATTTCCTGTTTTCCTATTTTGGAGAACAAAATGTTGTTCGTGTTTCTATTTATGGATAGTATTAAAGACCATTAGACCCTCATTTTTTTAACTTTATTCATTAAACTTCTTAAATTACCCTTGAACTTTCCACTTGCTTTGTACTTTTTCCACTTCCTCTCTCTAATTTTTGTCTATAATTGTACTTTTCACTTTTTTTTAATGTATTATATCCATTTTCTCCTCCCACCTCTTAAATACCGTGAAAAAACACAAACATGAACCATAAACTGGAACGGAGGGAGTATATTATATCCGTTGTAAAATAAGGTGTTTTTAAGACTACGAGAAATAAATAAACAATAAGAACGAAAAGTTGATCTTATAATCAATGGAACAAATATGGTGTACCGTGATACAAATCACTGACTTGAAAACGAAATTCCGGTGCAATCGTGGTGCTCAATTGTATTCGTCGGCACGTTCCCTAAGGTTAACACACCACTCTCATACAAAGGAACTTTTGGATGAGAGGTTGGAGTCATATAAACTCATGTCCAAAAAGAGGAATGTGTTTAGCTTAATATGTGTTTTGATGATATCTTGTAATCTGATTTTCTCAGCCATGAAATATATAATGAAGGATGGGATTTTCAAGAGGATGAATGTAGACATCAAAGGGTGATTAAATCAAAATAAAGAAGTTGATTAAATCACCATAAACATCCACTTTAATGGGAGTTACAAGAGAATCCAAGAGATGAAGGAAAAATGCCAAAAGATGAATGTATGTAGACATGAAAAAGTCTACTCCACAACCCACTTGTGGGCATTCTTTGTTGGCCACAACCTACTTGTGGAGTAGGCTGATTTTCCTTACAAAATAGACATAAAAGGTTTACTCCACAACCCACTTGTGGGCAAACAAACATTGTAGGCCACAACCTCCTTGTGGAGTAAACTGATGAACCTCCAAAAAAAACATGGTTTTTACTCTCTTTAATCCAACAATACCCACATTGTGATAATATGCTGATACATATCGAATATCGATGATAGCATAAACACAACATTATAGCCTACCAAAGTGCCCAAATTAAAGTTGAAGTTCAGAGTAACAAATTTAACAACCCAACAGGAGCAATTAGACAAGCACTTGTTCCTGCATTCATCAAGGTTCATGCTCGTGTTATACCAGGAATATTGCGTATCAGGCAGCTTGACGTTGGTATACTTGACAAAGCCATCTCCTCCATTACAACTCAAAGGGGTCTTCCTCGCACACCCATTTGACCATTCCCCGGAATTCCAATCACTAGGTGATTTTGGACTGAAACCTTTCAAACACCCACATTCAGGAGAGTTGGCTTACAACTTCCAAACTTACCACACAGAAAATATGTATCACAATTATCAGACTGCGCAGTCAAGTACATTACCCATCCTTGTACATGATCACTCCAAACAAGCCTTTGCATGGTCCCATAGGGGTTCAAGATCCTATGAGAAATGACCGAGTTATTGAGAAGTTCATAAACATAATATGTTTCCTTAGAATTCATGACAAAGTCAAAGGTGAAGTAAGGGTTAGGCTTCAGACTTGGATTACCACTGAACCTTACTCCATTCCATGGTCCGTTCCGATACTGCTCCATGTGGCCTTTCATCAGAACTGGTTGCGGGTAACCATGGTAATCAAGACGATATGTATAGCTTCCTAGTGAAGGATCATCGCTACTTCTCCAGAAAGTGAGGTACCGATCAAGCCCTGTGACCAAGTCCTTTCCCAGCTTCATCCCAGGCAACTGGATGTCACACGGAAAATCAAAGCTCTGCCATAAAAAACCATCACCATTTTTATGATTACCATCCATATCCCTAATGACAAGATTTCCGGAGTCTAAAAGCTCAGCAACCGGATTCTTCACAGTTCTTGTCAAGTTGGTTTCCCAAACAACAGCACCTGTGCCATTGACAAGCTCAAGGACTGACCCGGTAGTGAGTCTAAGCATGGCTGCTGAAGAACTCACAAGAGTCTCGAGTGGCACCTCCCGATTGGCTACCCAAACCACAGTTTGCACAGGAATTTTCTTGTACCAGATTCCAAGGTACCTTCTATCAGAATTGTCAGGGGTGAAGAATCCCAACTCAAAATTTCCACCTGCCGAAACCAAAGTGTCTCCATCTTTCAAAGGGTGGGTTGAGTTAATTAATTCAAGCGAATATGAGATAAATAGTTGAGAAGACATGGATGATAATAACCATAAAACAAAGAGCAGGCGATAACTCACCATAGTAACGTTACTGATAGCCTTCAGAAAGTATTGACTGGAAGATTTTCCTTCATTATAAGAAAAGAAAGATGAGTAAAGAGCAAGAAATGACTGCTAACTTTCCTAGTCCAACTACTACAAGACAAAACCAAAACAAGTCAGTAAAATAAAGCTAATGAATTTGCTACAAGCCTTCAAGTGCTTTCCATATGGATCATAAATTCAAAACGAGATGGCAAGTCCCATTTCGGACATCTCGTTTTTGTTTCTTTATTCATCCAGCCTCGCATATATTAAAAAAATGTTGAAATAAAATTCAGCTCATATATTCTGCAAATGATAACAACTAAAGATTTTATGGTATTTCTGAATTCGGAATAGTCAGCTTCAGTGGAAAATTTTGTCACTATAACACAATCTTTGACCCTTTTTTTATTTTTTCTTACACTGCCAAAACTAATTTGTGCTCACTTATGTCACTAAGATGTCAGTGTTCTATTTTTGTTGGAAAAGTAACTTAACATGTTACTAAATACTTACACCTAGAAGTCAGGGCATTGCACCATTTGATCGTATTTAAATCAAAGTAAACAAGATTCAATACCAAAACAAACTAGATTCTCTATAAATTCGCCTATAGAAGCTCGTTGTACCAGACTACCAGTACATGTCTGAAAATCATAGAAGTCAAACACACTACTGTTAATATGGTAGAAAACCAGATCTACCTCAAAAGCTACATACAAAATAAAATATTTTTTGACCCCGAACACTTCAAGGTCTTTAACCCCTTAAGTCGGAATAATAATCCATCGAACACTGGTTTTCACCTATGATAGACAATTTACCCATACAAAAGTAGAAGTTACTTGAAAAATTGTTGTCGAACAGGTTCAAGCTACTTCGTATTACTTTATGAACGGAATATGACTTCTTTTCGGGGGGGAAGGGGGGGGGGGGAGGGGTGGAAGTCCTAAAATATAGGTCATTATCATCAAATATTTATTCTTTTTATTGATGTATACTTGCGCAGTTCCGCCTATCATATATTTCACATTTTCTGAACCCTGTCTTCATTTACCCTCCTGTCGTCACTTGCCTGGCTAAGTGGCTAGTTAGCTGAATGATACCAACTTGTCAAGTTAGGGTCTCGTACTCTTGTTCACACAGTAAACAAACAAAAAGTACTACAGCCACCAATAGTAACAGTCTACAGTAGCAAAGATTCCAATAAGACTCATAGCTCAGTTTGATTCTGACAGGGATAATTCTATTGTAAGTCATTCAGAAACCAACCGAGATCAAAACACAATCCGATGCATAGACATCAATGTAGCAAAATTAAGCATATCTACGTTGTTGGTGCAAGTCTTTGGCGAGATCATAACATACTAATTTTTTTTTTTTTTTTTTGGAAAGCACATACCAACTTCTTATTAACTTATTAGACATCAAGAAGTTACTATTCCCTAAAACTCCGAAAAGAGTAATAAGCCAATTTTATCAAATGAAAAAGAGGTAATAACTAATAAGTCGTCACCTTCATAATATAAAACCCACTATGGTCACACATTAATTGATTTTAACTGTCTTATACAAGATTGTCACTGACAAGAACAAAAATTTCTTCATAAAGTTTCACTGGTTTCACAACTATCAATATTGAAGTCAATATTAGCAACAAAAATATCTTGCTAGGTGACAAGAATAATATGCTACAAAAAATATGCTATTCTTATGAATTCTACATTCCTATACACTCGGATATGAGCCACTACAAAAATTCCGAGTACTCCCAGTTAAGTTCATACAGTATTTGATTCTGGTTCAATAGATGATTGTAGACCTCCTCGGATCATCATTTGAGAGTAAAATTCAGCATGCTCCTGCCAACCAAAACAAGTGTGTTAATATGTTATCAACTCAATTGTTATACAGAGCACAGACAGACGTGACAGTTCAGGCTATAAGGGAATAGCTGGCTGATGCACAATCCACCCACCACCCTCCCGGAAGCAAGAAAAAGTCATAAGCAGAATCTAAATAGTATCAAGTTGGCACTTAGATCATTAAAGATTGGTTGGTGGTTCAATGATTTGAATAAGTTTTGACATCTGCTACATCATAGAAAATCTATATCTATTTTTTCAGCCAACTGCCTAAATCAATTGCTAAGTTATTGGATGAGTGAAAGAAAATATAAATGCAGCATCTGCATCAAGAGTTCATTTCCCTTAATACCACATAGAACCTAAAGTCTACTCTTTGTACCAAATGTCTTATTCTGTGGGTTAATTTCAGTTAAATGTCACTGAAATTCTCATGCTTAACATTTGTGTACCTAAGAAGTTGGTTGGTTTTCACTTTCTTTAGCTAATGCCCGAAGTCTTTTTAGGAAGCATCGGATACATTATGCAACACTATAACTATAGGCTTCTAGAAGACTTGAATATCATAAAACAGCTAAACAGACTATGGGAAACTTCAGATCACAACTGTGGCACACTAATTTTTGACAGGACATTATAAAAAAGAAGCAGCCTTTCAAGCAAGGGTTTTTCAGTACTCATTTTATTAGCTGCAAGCCTGCAAAAATGAACAATCTTGATTCCTAAATTCAAAACTTCAGATAATTTTTTACTTATGGACTAGGTTTTCTCTAAGTAATCTATTGTAGTGAGAAATTGTAGTTTTCAACTGCTCAAGTAACTCATAATTTTCCCAGTACCGGTGCAATTCTATCATGTTTCATTATAGTCAAGATCAAACTACACTCAGAGTATTTATAAAGGTGCGACAACATGTCCTTCAATTTCAAATTGAGCATTACTTAAAGAGGAAGATACTACAAGACACTACTTCAGATACTCATGGAAGGCTTTGCTGAAATCAATGGTGAAAAATCATTTCTCTCTTTAAATATTCCTATTCTATTTCATATCAAATGGATTCCCTGTATCAATGAAGAACACTTAAAAGCTGCTCAAGGCAAGTGTACTGCACAGTCTAGTGTTGTAATGTAAGAGACTAAGAGGGTCAATGCCTCAGAGGGCTTTAAAGAGCTCTTATTCCCACAAAGTTGCTTCGGCTAAACATATAATTGATATTGCACTAATAACTTAAAAAGTGGATTCTGAGTTGTTTAACTGGGCTAAATACTTATCTGAACCAAAGACCAAAATTTTTTCAGTTTAGAAGACATTATCAAACCTATCTGATTTCCAAACTATTGTGCTAGTTCAAGTTATTTGGAGAAACAGAAAAGGCATGCTATCAGCCAAAAGATCTAGTATAATACAATTCAAGTACAATTTGGTCCCAAATATGAGCAGCCCAACAATATTCGAGCATGGGGTATCATATAACAAAGCTAAGAACACGTGACATACTGACACCAATATCTTATTTGTTGAACAGAAGGATTAGGAGCAAAAGACAGATATTAGCATACCTTCACAGCCACAATAACCACTGCAACACCATTTTGTCGTGATTCACTGAAGATTCTTCTTGCATCGTCTGGAGTAACTGATGGAACAACCTGGGGTAATACCTTCAAAACTAAACATAAAAAGACGGTACAACTTAGAACCAAAAACGATAATCATCATAACTTCTGTTGCATTCAAACATGTACAGAATGTAACTTTCGCTCACCAAGCTTTTCTGTGTGGCGCTCATCATCAAGCAGCAAAACCCTGTAACTGTCTCCACTTCCAGTACCTTTCTTATCCTTTACCCGTCCAATGTCTCCTCCTACAAAAATTTAACAAGCTATTCACCAAGAACACTACGGCAACATGGCAGCATGTATATAAACAGTATATAACTAGTATGCTGGGTAGGATATCTGCTCCTAAAGCAACACTTCATGATTCAAGACAATAGATTCCTTAAAATCTAATCAGCATACCTATTGAAAGATCAGTAAAATTAACCATTCGTTCCATATCCCTACACACAAAACTTTCCACTCTAACAAGCTCAACAGTAGTAATAACCTAACCAAACTTCAACAAACCCGAATTCAAACAAACCCGGTAACCTTATTACGCTATTTCTTGCACAACACAGTCTGATAGTCACACAAAGAACCCCAACTGGATTATATTACACAAATATCATAGCAACAAAATAAACACAACAAACTAAATACACACAGAACAATTGCAAGAACCAAGAACGCTATGTCAAAAGCATCCAAACAGTAAACAACTAGTATGATTGTATGAAGGATAAAGCAACACTTCATGATTCAAGACAGTAGATTACTTGTAATTTTATCAGTATACCAATTGAAAATTCAGTTATATAATTATATTTAACCATTAATTTCATATCCTTAATTCAGGTTTTCACTCAAACAAGAAACAGTTGTAATAACCAAACCTAAATCCGACAAACCCGAACTCGAACAAACAAGATAACCTCAAATTCTTGTATCAGACAGTTTAACACTTCATACAAACAATCCTATTTGAATTAAATCATACAAATAACAATTGAGTACAAATTTTTAAAAATTGCAAAAATCAAGAAACACAAACAAAATTGAAAAGACTACCTTCTTGAACTTGGGTTGAAGGGTCAAATTGAGACTGATCAAAACTGGGTCGATCCAAAACAGCACCACCACCTCCTCTAAGAGACCCAAATCTTGATTTCACTCCTACCGCCATTGAAGCAGCACAAACCCCTTCATTTTCTCTCTCCTCCATTCTCAAGCCATTGTACACAACTCTTGAATTTTTGACATGGGAAAGTAGGCCATATCTTAACCCATTTGATACAGGTGTAGTTGTTGCACCAGCTAAGAAAGAAATGGTTGAAGAAGAAGCCATTGTTGAGCTTAAAACTTGAAAGATGAACACTTTGAGAAATTGTTGCAAAAACCCAGAAGAAAGCTGGATTATATATAGGAGAGAGAAAGAGGGAGAATTTGTTTGAGGGTTGAAATTTAGTATGTGGATGAAAATTTGAGTTATCAGTTGTTGGCAAATTGCGCGAATCATAAAATGGGAGGATTTAAATTTAGTCCACAATTATGAATTTTATGGGTTTATTAGTCCTGAATTGGGGTTTTTTGTGGGTGCAAATTAGCCTATTTGATGGTGTAAGGCGTAAGGTCTAGAATGA